TGTAACTCTGGAAGCCCAGGCCTCAGCCCTGGACCTGGTGCTGTGAACATCTTCTCACAAATCTTTATGGCTTCCTGCCTCCATACCTGTGCTTGGGGTTTTTGTCTTTTGTCTACAATGTCCTCTCTTATATCCTAGTGACAAAGAAGCAACCCATGTCTGCCTTAGCCCACAATTCATTTTCCGTGTTCAAGAGACAGTAAGTATCTCATGTTCCTAGCAGCACTATTTAGTGTAGCCAAAAGGTGTAAGCAACTCAAGTTCCCATTGAGGGATGAAGGAATAGACAAAATGTGGTGTAGGCACACAATGGAATGTTACCCACCCTTAAAAAAGGAAGGAAATTCTGACGCATGCTACGGCATGGGGGTGAACTTCGAGGACATTATGTTAAGTGAATAAACCAGTCACAAAAGGACAAATACTATATGATTCCACTTATGAGAATGATCATATTCATAGAGATAGAAAGTAGACTGGGGGTTGCCAGGGCCTGGGGAGTTGTTTAATGGGCACAGAGTTTCAGTTTTGCAAGATGAAAAGAGTTCTGGAGGTTGGTTGCACAACAATGTGAATGTAGTTAACACCATTGAACTGTGCACTTAAAAATGAATAAGACAGTAAATTTCATGTTATGTGTATTTACCACAATTAAAAATAAAAAATTTTTAAGAAATTAAAAGAGAGGGAGGGAGAGAGATACAGAGATAGGAAAGGAAAAGGAGAAGGGTGGTTGGGGCAGAGAGACTCTCTCTCAGCTGCACCCGTGCAGAGATAAAAACCTGCAGTCCACCTCTTCCTCAAACCATCTGCAGCTCCAGGGCTTGGTTTCTAGGGACAGCCCTGGCCTCCCCTAATCCTCAGTCCTGGAGAAGGAAGATTCTGAACGCACCACCTGAGCCCACCAGGAGAGGATAGTGGAGAATCAGAGGAAAACTCACGTCAATTTCCACCTGCACAATTGCAGCCACCACAAAGGCCATGGAAGCCAGGAACATTCCAACTGTCATCCTCCTTAAGGAGCTGATTGGGACAAGAAGAGAGTGACTCCCAGCCAGTCTCGTACAGAAGAGCCAACGATAAGCCCCCAAAGGAAACGCCTCCCCCACCAGCCCCCCAAACAAAACTAACTTCCCTACGAAAGCACATGGGCTTGAAAGGGTCTCTCCTTCTGTTGTTCATGACCAAGACTAAGCAGGATCAATGGAATATACCTTCTCATTAGCATATTTACACTTAATTAATAGAAACTGAATTTCAGGTGATACTCCAGATTACAATTAACACTTCTGTCATCTACATACCCAAGAGAGCCTTAATGGGAGGATTTTTTCAGGCCTCCATTAACGGCACTTTTATCTTAAAGGATATTTTCAGAAATCTCGACGCACTTGCATCTGTTTAATTCATTCTTCAAACCCCGTTATCTAGGTGCTGCTATGGGAGGGGCTGCAGGCGTCCTTTCCACAGAGCCCCTGGGCAGGGAGCGCAGCCCACTGCAAAGCCCTGGGACCAAGGGAGCCTCAACCAACCCAACCAAGCAGTCACCTACGTGAAGTTGAAACCACATTTTGCAATCAGAGGATACAACACAGCATCAAAGATGGGGACCATGATAACAATCAAGATGGCATTCACGGTCTGCAGACAAAGTGGAGGTAAAATGTTAATGTTGTCTCCAAGACAACTTTGATCTCTGAAAGCAACTTAAGTATTTTCTCCTACCTGTATCTGATCCGGCTGAATTTCTATAGCTCCCTAAACATAGGAGAAAAAAATATCATTGAAAAATGTCATGAAACGGAGGGAGGAAGGGGAACAAAGGGACAAAAACAAAGGAGTAGTGACCACGAAAGGTCAAACGTCTTGACATCCCAAACTTACGATTTTCCCGTTCATGGTTGTTGCTTGCAGTGTCCATCGGGAGCCCTTAAAAACGAACACAGTTACTGCATCATTTGGGAATGTGGGTTTTTAAAATATTGCAAGCCAGTGTTGAGTCTTTTCCAAATCACAAATGGGGTCTGAAACGTTATGGGATTTAAAATGGTTTTAAACATCAAGTTACCCTCCCAGCTCCATGTTAACACTAGGTGAAAAGAAACGGTTGCGTTTCTGTCGCACTGTGAACATAGTACGCGGTATTCCAGCCCCTCGTAGAGATGCACAAAGTACTGTCCCTAGAAATACACGAATGTATTTCTGAGGCTTGTTGGAAAGCACGACACCATCTGTAAGGTGAAAGCAGCTCTGTGCGCCATGGATCGTCTGTATTCACTGGCATCGAGGATTCAAGAGCATTACTATGCTTAAGAGCCGTTTTTGATGGTGCATGCTGGCTGAAACCAGATCTCCATCACGAGAGTGAGCGATGGATCTAAACTGGGCACCCTAGTCATAGTCAACCCATTTTATAGTGAAAGATGGACCAGGACTGTCCAAGTATATATTGTTATTTCCATGGAAGACTAAACGTGTAAGTGTGTCAATATGAACCTGTCAGCTCCACTAGGAGGAAACCTACCCCTGTCTGAGTTCTTAATATAAGCCTGTCACCAAGTACTTTACATACTTTCACTCATTGGATCCTTGTAGCCTTGAGGTGGGTCACTATGAGCCTTTCAGAAGGGTCAAGAGTTATTATCCCAAGTCACACAGCTGCTAGGTGAGGAGTGTGTTTCCTATGCACTTGTGACTCTAATATCCAGCTTGTACCCAACATGCATGACTTCCTCCCTGGTGTTTATGATGCTAGTCTAAATTTCATACTTACAGATAAGGAGATTAATGTGTACACTCAAATTTCTTTCAAGAAACAGTTTACTTTTATAATAATCCATCCTGCACAATAAAACCACGTGTTCATAAATTTTTTTTATACCCCAGTTTCTAAAAGAAACAGTATCTGATTGCTTTGGCTGCAAGCATCATGCATTGGCTTGTCTGACGCTATTGTGAAAAATCCTTAGGCATGTGTCTTAAGGTTGTGTAGAAAGAGCACAAGTCAACCTTTGGGTTCAAGGTCCCTGCTCAGAGAGGGACGACTTTGGTGGAGTCATTTCCCATCCCTGGACAAGCCCTCTAGTCCAGGCATTGCATTCGAGAGTGGAAGACACCAAGGCCCTCTCAGTTTAAATAACCTATGGATACCATAAAAGGTCATCTTTATCACACTGTACCAGTAGATAAACAAACTGTTTGCTCCCAATTTTGCAAGAGTCCTGGATGGTTTGATGAAATCTTTCCCAAGGCTACTTTACCTGATGCACCTAATTTTCTTCATGGTTTTGCAACAGAAATGTGGACAGAACCACCTAGAATTGTTTTGTTTTTACAAATAAACTCAGTGTGATCTAACAATTAAATAAGTGAAATATAAAAAGGAAGCTGGGAGGGAACTTATTGGGAGCTAAACACCAAGTGCGGCCGGGCACACGGCAGTGCCCTGTGCATGTTTGCTGAGTGAAGGCGCGCAGAGCAGTTTCACGTTACCTGCTGGTCAAACAAGGCCCAGAACATTGGGAGTGGAATGTACAGGAACATCACCCTCGTAACCATCTTAATTTGACAGATGAGCCGCTCCTGCAGTTGGGGTGGGGGAGGACAAATCAGCCATGACCTGTGTCACTCAGCTGTCAGGTGCTGAGTTTCAGTGCAGAGGTAGATATTTGTATTCAGGGACAAACTCAGAGCTCATTCATTGATCGCTGGTTTCTTTAGAAAACTGAAAATTTCTAAGCCATTTAAAATATAAGTGAAAACATTTATTTAGGAGGTCAATTACTTGAATTCATTAAATGTAAATGTCGCTAAAGGTAAATCCCACCACCGCCTCCAGCAACACTTAAGTCTTCTATATTCAAACTAAATTAATTCTACATGATCACAATTACATGGAATTAATGGCAGATTATACCAAATGAACACGATGGAAAGTAATATTGTTTCCAGATGAATTATATCCAGTATTTATCAAGTTCTTCTCAGTTAAAAAAATGCACTCGTGCATAGTGTTGTGTGACATGCTAATGAAGGCTGGGAAGATGCAAGTGACAGTTTTGTCCGTGTAGCCTCAACAACCTGAACTGGGATATTAGACGTTCACTTCCTGCAGGAATCGGGATCACTGTGGCATGATGGTTACTCACATCATACTTCTCTCTAGCCCAGTCCAGCCAGTGCTCCCTCTTGGGGTATGTCTTACTCCGATGTCTAAATCGATTTTTGATGGCAAACTGAAGTGAGGAAGAAAAATCAAATTTCAAAACAGAACTAATGACTTTATCAGGGACACACATTTCAATGAACCCTCTTAACTGGAACAATATGTTTGTGAGAAAAGCAAAACGTAAAATTGCATATATACTAGTATATGAGTGTGTTAAAAGGTACAACTGATGCATTTATTTCTAGTCTCTTTCTATCTAAGAGCATTTGACTTTGGGGAAACAGAGTCACCCTGTCTCTACTCTTCAGATCCTCTAGGGAAGCAGGTCCAAGAGAAATATAACAGACACATTTGCAATTTAAGTCTTCTAGTAGAAACATTAACGAGCAAAAGTGAAACAGGTGAAATTCATTTAAAATATATTTAATTTAACGCAATAAACTCCAGCTATCATGTTAATATGTAACCAATATTTTTTAAATGAATGAGAATGTTTACATTCTTTTTTAATACTGAATCTTCAAAGTCCAGGGAGTATTTTAATCTTTTGGCGTATCTCGATTTGGATGCTAAATTTTTATCAGAAACATTTGATCTATGTTTAGATTTCATAAAGTTTATGTTTGAAAATCTAGATCTATGTGCTAAGTTGTTCCAAACATGCTTAAAAGCTTTCTAGTAACTGATTTGAATATCAGGTTTTAAATTTAATTTAAGAGCAAGAACTGCCTACATAGAAATACATTTACATTTTTAAAAGGATATTGGGAAACATTTTAAAATACAGTAACACTGGTCAGGTGCCCCACCCTTCATTGCATTAGAGGCTACTGAGATTCCTGGCTAGTGTTGTTTAGGAAAAGCAAAGTGGTTTTGCAACAATGCAGCAACAAAAGGAAGTGATGTTTCTGTAGCTGGGAACATACATGTGATTGAAGGGTAATAACTCAAAGCTACAGGCTGATTTTGGGATTACAGGCAATACAGTTCTCATGACTTTAAACAGCTAGAAGTTCTCCTGGAGTTTGAACCATCTTGTCAATTACTTGATAAGGAAGAACTTGGATAGACCGTTGGTAAGGTCCCCTCTTTGCTTGAAAAAAGCTGTTTGGTGGGAACAGATCTATTGTTAGAAGAAAAGGGAAGACCTGAACCTGAGGGGAATTCTTCTTGACAGGAAGAAGGCATATTTATTTCACCAAGTGAAACACAATACTCAAATTGTATAATACAATATGATTGAAATACAGAACAATAATGCAGCGGTCCCCAACCTTTTTGGCTTCAGGGACTGGCTTCACGGAAGACAATTTTTCCACGGATGGTGGGGGCTGGGCATGAGGGAGGCAGAGCTCAGGCGGTGATGCGAGCAATGCAGAAGGGCTGTGAATACAGATGAAGCTTTGGTCCCTACCCGCTGCTCACGTCCCACTGTGTACCTCTCCCTTTCCTGTGTTTCATGGAAGACAATTTTTCCTGGGCCTGGCGAGGTGCGGGGGGTGGCAGCGGAGCTTTGTGGTCCGGTCCCTAACAGGCCACAGACTGGTACCAGTCCGCTGCCCGGAGGTTGGGTACCGCAGCAATAATGCAGTAAGGCCAGGTAAAGAGAAAGTAATCTAAAATTATCTCAAGGCTGCCTTTTCATCCAAAAGATTATCCACACATTTTTTAATGTAAATAAGTTACACATTTTGCCCTGGTTATACAACATGTACAGTAGGTTCACTAAAAAAATGGGGAGCGTTTAAGGGGTAAAATTACTTCATTCTATTATCTGAAGGTTCCTACTCTCAATATTTGTTTCCTGCCTATAAATGTACCTGTGTGTACACACGCTATGTGGATGCATATGGAAGAAACTGTATTCTGCACATTCCTATCATCAAATGTTCTTTGATAACAAGACTGCTGATGGCTGCATGTCATGGCACAGACGGACTGTGCAGGAAGCATCATTTTCCTTTTGGCAGCAATTCGGTGGATTTCAATTTTTATTTTTATTTTTTATTTTCTTTATAGAGACAGGGGTCTCACTCTTGCTCAGGCTGGTTTCGAACTCCTGACCTCAAGCAATCCTCCCACCTTGGCCTCCCAGAGTGCTAGGATTACAGGTGTGAGCCACTGCTCCCGGTCCTGGACTTCAATTTTTGCTATTATAAATATTACAGTGATAATCTTTGCACATGAGTCTGTGTTCATTTTTAAAACTTATTTTCTCAGTCTTAATTCCTGAAGGCAGTATTATCGACTCTTAGGTATTTGAACTCCTGAGGCTCTTGCTATACACTGCCAAGCCAAGCTTTCCCATTTCGATTCACTGCTCCCCAACAAACATCAGGCAGCGGCTGCCAATCTGACCAGGGAAGAGTCACTTTGATTTGTTTTTCTTCGACCAGTCATCTTATTTTAATTTAATTTAATTTAATTTTATTTCAGCATATTACAGGGGTAAAAATGTTTAGGTTACATATATTGCCTTTGCCCCACCCAACTCAGAGCTTCAAACGTGTCCATCCCCCAGACGGTGCGTACCGCACCCATTAGGTGTGAATATACCCATCCCCCTTCCCACCTGCCCGACACCCGATGAATGTTACTACTAAATGTGCACATACATGTTGATCCACTCTACTAAGTGAAGTATCGTAAGAATGGAAAAACAAGCACTGATCTTATTTTATAAGCTCAAGAGCCATTTCCATTCCTCCCTTTCTGAGTTGTGTTTGTGTCTTTTTCCATTTGGTGAGTTTTATAAGAAATTTCAATTTATCAAAATAGTTAAGAACAGTAAAGATATGTTTAAAGGAAAATCAAAGCTTACTCAAATTTTAATTTAAAGGAGGCAGGAGATTCTGGGGTCATTAAATGTCATTGAGAAAGAGCTTCAGAAATACTTACGCCAATGCACTTGACCACTTTAGCCATGATGTTACCCTGTGGCTGGAACTTCTTGTACATTCCACTGCCAATGACAAATACAACTAGACAGAGCAAAAGAAGATGTGTTAATAAGGTGTTTGCCAGAGCTACTTGTGGCCTAGAGAGAAGTTATTTGAGTTATAACCTTGTTTTGGAAATAACTGGATTACTTATGCAATGGGCTTGCCTACCTATCTCACAGTTTAGAAAGTGCTTTGGATTCTAACAATCACAAAAGCCTCTCAGTAATGTTACATTTTTGTTCTAATACACAAACCTTTAAGCCTAACACTATCTACTTCCCAGAACTCGAGGCAGCTCCTGCACGCTCAGTGCAGCTATTTAAGCACAAGTTCTATCTCCATGTAAAGGGACACAATAGGAGTAAGTGCTTTCACATAACAGATTAATGTATTGTTCTACACAAACAGTAAACGTACGTGTAAATTTGTGACTGCAATGGCAAGAGGAATTTTCTTCTCCTTGTTAATCTTCAGGAAAAAAAGAATTAAGCTGTTGAATCTTTTATTCAATCATATGTAGCAGAAATTTTTTCTGTGGTCACTGGGCCGAAGCACAGTTACAATTAATCGCATTTGCAGCTACAGTTTTACAAAAGTTAGAAGCACTTTTTCAATGAGGCCATTCTTCCAGGGACCGTCTTTGGCATATTATGAAAATAACTTAGAAAAAAGCATTTCTGCAAGAGATTCTGAAAACAGTCCCTATACTAGGATTTCTGATTATCCAATACCACAATTCAATAATTTAAATCCCCTGACGCCTGTGTTTTCCTCAATTAAGAGGGCCTGAGGTTTTTGAGAGATATCAATCTCCAGCATATCTCCAAGTACATGCTGTCCTATGCACGTCCTTTATAGCTGACAAAAGAGATGTCCATTTATATTCCTGCCCAATGCTAACCTTTCTGAACACACATGGATGGTAAAGATGTCCAACAGATTGGGTCTAATTTTCTTTTGTCAACTAATACTTTAAGCTTCTGATTAACTGGAGCTACTTCGAGGAAAGAAATTTCTATAGGTGGTGTTGATACATAGGATTTGGCCTGTTCTCAATTCCTCCATAAGAAAAAGCATAATCTTTGATATACGAATGACTTGTACAGACTAAATGAGAATTTACATAAAGTGCTTAACACAGTGTCTGGCATAAAGCAAGACTTTTTGGAATGCTCTCTGTCTCCCATCCAGCATTAGGGAGGAGAAGGTATAAATGAGCCTTCTGGGGGTGTATGGCAGTATCTGAAGAATTATGGGAGAAAAAAGATATATTAAAAAGTAGAAAATACTGAGCTCTTGCATAAATGTAAGGAGAAAGCTAAAATTGCTACGATATAAGCAAAAGAGGTTAAAAATGGGCCTATTCAATACTATTAAGATTTGAAAACAAAAATTGGAGAGAGAGATGTCATCGCCAGGTGAGCAAAGCTGACAGCGACCTCTTCTGAGTGGGAGAAGAGGCTCTGAAGACGTGGGGTGGCCACTGGGCTGTCTTCTTCTTGCACCTTTCTCGATTGTCTTTCAAGTTAGACCATCCCATGGAGAAAACTCTTCACATCTCATAAAAAGCCAATGCTAAGAACCAATGTACAAATTAATGTATCTAATATATACATATATTCTTGCTGTAGGGAAGGAATTCTAGTAGAAACATTTGGAGATTATAGATTATGGAAATTTATATGTTCATTGGAAATATTTCAATGGCAGTGGAATCAGGTTGCCATTTCAAGCAAGTTGTAGATAAACCCATGTTGACAAAAATAAAAGCTTTCAGCCTTGTGTTCAGCTAGTCTAGCAGATTCTATCACCTTCATCTTAATCTGCCTAGATAGTATCACCTTCAAATGTCCAACTCAGTTGATTCCATTTCTTGTAAATCTTTTTTTTTTTTGGTCCTATTCCCTACTTTCTTCGAATACTCAGAAGATGTTACCATCTGATCGCAATTCTTCACACTACCTTTTGTTGCAACTTGTTACATGGACTTTTAAAAATTAGTCACAATAATTACTGCAGGGCCTGACCTGATGCTAGGCTTTTATTCATTCTACTGATTTCTACTTACTCAGGGATACAGCCATCAGGACAGCAGGAACCCCAAATGCCAGTGGGTAACAAGCTT